ATAATATATAAAAATACCTCCTGAGTGAAATACAGAATTTGCAGTAAAACTGGAAAATCTAAGTTCAATTAGTTTTCATCTTTTCTACAGTCTGGTGACAAGAAACATTATACTAATTAACCCGTAAAGGGGTTACATCCTCATAATCATGTGCGGTCAAATACACTTTCAACAGGTATATGCAATGTCTTGGTCAAGCTCCAAGTCCAAAGTGTCAATATTTTAAGTAATTAACTTTCTCCTCAGGGTACCCTGAAATTGTCCTATAGCTAGACATTACCTCCTGAAAATCCTGCAGCTTAACATCACTGTAGTGATAACTTTCATAACATAACTATTTCAGAACTGGTAAACTAGGAACAGAATTTTTCATGTTAACTTACCATATACTTGCAAACTGTATTCTTTCTTTGCACTTCCAGCTACATTTGAAGCAATACAAGTGTAAGATGCAGCATCAGACTTTTCAGCAATTGAAATCTGTAGCTGTCTGCCTCCAGATAATATCCGCACCCTTCCGGAAAGGTCAGCCACCAGTGGAGAGCCTGCAAGAAACATTGTTTCAGATAAAAACACAGAAAATGGTAATAAGCTTGCTCATGTTCTATAAAGTCCACTGGCGCGTTTAAAAATTACTGAGCTGCACAATTGTCCACTTTAGAACTACTCTATCAGAGTTTTCCCAGACATCAGAAACTCCATGCAAGCAGATTCTGAGGACTTCGCATATTAATTGCAGACTTCATTAACATATATCAACCTGAGCTAAAGCACAGTAACACTCACCACACTCACGTCCATCCAGAACATCTTGGACACTTCCACTGAGCAGCAAATTCAACATTTTCAGTAAAATCTGACTCATTGTCCAGCATATAATTGTCTCACCCAGCACAGACAGTGCTTAGAAACACATAATTTAGCCTTCACAAGCCAGACCATCTGTGTATTGTATGTTGCACAGCACATGTGCTTAGACTTCTGCCCAGGAAATTCTCAGCAGAAACGTGACAGCAAAATAATATTACATTCTCTGAGCTGAATTTTCAATCTTGGAGACCTCAGAAGAGGCAACTATCTTTATCTTTACAAACTGCAGGGAGACTTTGTGACAGAAAGAATACACCTGCCACTGATAATTCTTACAAGCTGAATTTTCATTTCCCACTTGTGCATTTAAAATCCTCTCTATGAATAAGTGCACCAAGCGTCAAACATGATGAAAAATCTTGCTCTCAAGTAACATTCAAAACTGTACTACTTCCTAACTGCCTTTCTGGACTTTCCAACAGGTTCAAGTTTCCTTTCTGCCATTTAAGTGCATACACTTTAGCCTTGCAGTACATTATTAGAACATGTCATACAATGCCTTTTTGGCTTCAAAGAGACAGGGTTTAAAAAGAACTTGATAAACTTCATTTTCTCTGAAAATTTTATGCATTAGAAAAAGTGTTTTATAATTAAAATCTGTTCTTTCCACAAGTCAAAAAATTAATTAAGGTAGGCACATACCACACTGAATTGTGCCGCCTGGAAAGACACATATGAATAGGTAAGATTGATTAACAACACAAGAATTACCATACTGAAGAGTCCAACATCTTACTTTGTCTAATATTCTGTCTCCAACAGTGTCCATGCTTAAAAGAAGGTGCTAAAAATACCTGCTTGTGTCTGCTGATTCATAAGAAGGTGTTTGTCAATGTTACTTTAAACCCTAAAGCAAAAAGGTGTGCAGACTACCCTTAAATATTAAGATGGGATGAGAGAAAGGTTCAGCAAATCCCAAAAGCAATGACTACAACTGGATGCATTTTCATTGCTTGGCAGTATGCCATAGCTGCAAATTTAAAAATAACCCAGAGGACACATCTATGTTATGCAGTGGATCACAGGGCAGAGACCCTCGACTCCGCACCACAGGCCTTCACAGTGACTCACAGCCCTGACAGCTGGGATCTATAAGTAAGTCTTGTTGCTGTCTTGCTACACCATGGTAAATAAGCATATTGAGAGGGGTTAAGTGCTTCACTAACATGTATAAACTGTCCATTTTTAAGTCAGCTCAGGAATCTCTGTACTGTGCTTCTCTTGCATGTCTTTAGGAATAATCATAGAATCATAGAATGCTTTGGGTTGGAAGGGACCTTGAGAGATCATCGAGGCCAAACCCCCCTGCAGTAAGCAGGGATTGAACCTGTGAACTTGGCGACACCTCATCTAAGCAGAGGTGAGTTAAAGAGAAGGGAATAATCTTCTAGTGTGGTTCATTTTACTCAATATCAGGATGGTTTAGATACCTGCATGTTTGGATTCCTCAGAACACACTAATCTAAAATGTTCACAGGAAAAAAAGAAAAACTGGCAGGTCAGAATTATCACATTTGCTTTATAAAACAGACAATGGACGGTCACTCACCATTCTTTTTCCAGGTAAGACTGGCTGGTGGGATGCCACTAGACTCACATATCAGGCTTATCAAGCTCCCTTCAATTACTGTCAGATGAGAGATGTCATCTGATCCATAAATACTTGGTGATACTGAAAAGAAATGTCAAATAATTGCAGCATTTGAAACAAAACTTTATCAGCCAACAGTAAGATCAAACAACACTCAAACAAATTTGTCCCGTTACACTCTAAAGCAATTACAAGGATGTATTGTCTTGCTGACAATGAAAACCAGATCCTGGGTAGGGAATAATACACTTGCAAATGACTGCATCTATCCTGCCAGCCTCTGAGGTCTGGTGCATGCATAGGCTCTATTTCTGGCTGACTTTTGAATGGACTTCACAGAACAAAGTCATTTCTGTGAATTATGTAAACTGACTCCAACTCTAAGAGCCTGCCTCATTCATGGCCTTAGTTCATAAACCTACAGATACCATCATTAGTCAGAAAGTGACTTTTAAAATTCAACCCAAGTTTTTCCTTTGATTCTTTCCTGCAGCAACACAGTGGCTGCCACATCCAACACTAAGGACGCAGCTAAGTGCCAGCTTTGCTTTACAGCTCTGTGACTGTAAACCAGTTGCAGACAAAAGGGACCACTGTTTTCACTCTGATTCTCAAAATCTTAAAGAACGTCAGTTCAATCACTAGGGAAGGGATAACTGCCTTCTTGAAATGGGGGAACCATCTTCATTGGATGAAAACAGTGTAGGTAACACTTGAAAAGAGACCAAAAAAAGCAGAGGAGAATGCAGGCTGAGACTGGCAAGTAAAATCTCACTAGTGAATAACTTATCCAGCACATTTTTAATGCATGTGACAGTAAACAGCTTCTCCTTCCGACACTTCAAAATATTTAGCAGCAACCAGATGTATGGGTTTCAGAATGACTGACTGCAGAGGGCTTTATTGTACTGTACTGGCTTCAAACCTTTCATTTGTCCTGCTTCTAGTCAAAAAGTTTGTGCCATTCTCTACGGAGGTACATCTTACATTTAACACATGGGCTGGTTCCTGGAACCAGAGTTAGCGCTCAGGATCTCACCAATCCTCAGAAGGATACATTTCCTGGATTTAAAATTTAAAAATATGGCAAGCAGGACTTCTGGTCCCTGAGTGTAAGCAAAGACTATAATTCTAAACAGTTATCCATGGATGACTTTCACAGGCAACTTTTGGTTTCTACTAAGCTTATTCCATCAACGCTGCTAACTAGCAAAGAATTATCCCTCCTTTCAAAATCCTACTGAAGTGGTCTCACTGCACAAAAGAACAAATCCACATCCCTCCAGCAGCTAAGGTCATTTGCAACGCTGCAGATCTTACCATTCTGGGGAGGGAGAGATGAAGATGACATGCACAGTTAATGGGTATATGCATTAGCATAGGAAAATTGCATGGTCTTGCACAGTACTACAATATCCACCTCTAATTTAAACACTGGGAATGTTTCTTTTTAATAAATGACAAAAGAATTCTGTACAAAAAATTGTAGTTTCATTGTTACAAACCCTGCTAGATAATTCTAGTCTTGTGATTTCAAAGCAAGAAATTAATTTGTAATAGCAAAAAAGGCACATTTAAATTTGCATATGGGGAAAAAATGATGGTGCAGAAAAAACACTCAAAATCAATTATTAAAATAAATGTCCTAAGCCACATTCATCATCTAGCCATAGGAAAGTTTTACTACAGCTATTTTTATGATTCAGCACTGATAACTTCGCAGAGCAAATAAAGCTAGGTAAACCAGCTTTTATTTATCTGAACTTCCACACTTCAGCATTTAAAAAAGTAGAAAGTTGGTAGATTACTTTAAATGGCATTAGAGTGCACAAATAGAAGCTATGGGTACAGAATCAGTTAGCTATAGTTCTAAACTACTATCATGCATGCAAACCCAGCCTGACAAAGGCCTACAAAGTAGCCAGTATTAATTTAGAACCAAACCAAAGCAATTTGAAAAATGTGTGCACTTTCTTGGGATTGTTAAACTACAGCAAATACAGTAACACCTCCCTGCATGAACCTCCGCAATTATGTGTTTATGAACTACAGAGGATTTTAGTGTCTCACATCACAATTTCACTCTGAGCTCCCTTCCCATTCCTGGAATAAGCTTAATAAATCTTACCCCAAATATTGACATTATAGTTCTTTTCAGTTTTCCCAGCAACATTTGTCGCTTCACAAGTGTAACGGCCAGTGTCCTGTACTTGAGCTCCTTCAATCTAGGAAGAAAACGAAGACCTGGATTTCTTCTTCTTACATTGTTATACATAAAATTTCAGGGCAAGGTTGTCCAGGTTTCAATTTCTATTTGTACATTTGTCTCTCTACATATTAATAATACAGTATTACTCCTGCAAAATCTGTACACAAACATCCAGATGTCTAGGACCTCCCTCACTCTTCACCCACCACTCTCTATTGTACCAGAGGGCCTAATGCTATCCAAACTCTAAAAGATATTAGTGCCTTCATGGTGGGTATACTCCCCAGAAAGCAATTGCCACCAGAGCCTGACCACCCAGTTTACCTTCAGTACGCTTCCATCTTCAGAGATGCTAAGACCTGGCTTTTTCAGCAAGGGTCGACCATCTTTGAGCCATGTCAGCACAGGTGGGGGAATAGCATTGCTCTTGCAGAGCAGCTCCACTGCTTGGCTCATGAGCACAGAGACGTTTTGTTCCTCCCCCATGATGTTTGGTGGAACTACAACAATAATTCAAAACAAGGGACCTTTGATCATTGCAGACTTCCCAGGGTAACCATACTGTGGAGTTAACAGTTTTCATTTAACAAAAATAAAATGGCAATTACTACCTTTCTGACACACAACTTAAGTCTCCTTTATAACACAAAAAAGCACCGGAATAATTTTTGTTACTGACAGAATATCCTCTACAGAAGATATATGCTAGTGAGATATCAGCTACAAAGAAAGCATGTAGATAAGCCAAGACTAGCAAAAAAATACTTGAAATATAGCTAGAAAGGAAAATCACTAGTATATAAAGAATGG